CTCTGCCTCCCGAGTGCTGGGATTAAAGGCGTGCGCCACCACTGCCCGGCGATTGTTCCCTTTCTTTCATTAGCAGGGTCTCACTGTGTAGCCCAGGCTAGTTTCCAGCTCCTCATCCTCCTGCCTCAGCCTCCCGAGTTCTGGGATTATAGGCATGTGCTACCATGCCCAGTTCACAGGCCTCATTTCTAAGTCTTTGGTTTCATCATTCGACATCATTGTGTCTTGGAGGTCCATGCACACTGATGTGTTGACACTGTGACGTGCATCTTGTTTGTGTTGCTCTGGCTGGCTGTGTTAGCACACTATTACATCGTTTTCCTCTGCGGTTAACCACTTTAGAGCATCCTTTTCCTTTTCTTCTGCCTCCTTCCCTCCTCCTCCTCTTCCCACCCTCCCCCATCCTGTGTTTGTGATGAAACAGAACACAGATGGATGACTTGGTCATAAGCATGTGTCCTGAAGGCCTGCTTTCTATGTGGGTTCCGCAGATCCAATTCAAGTCCTTATGTTCACACAGCAAACATTTCATTGACTGACCTACCGCCCCAGTCACCTTTTTTTAAATATATCTTTTGATAAATGGTTTTTAATTATAATGAACCAAATTAGTCTACTAATTATACTTTTTTCCTCTCATTTAAGAAATTATTAATACCAAGCCAAGCACATGTCTGTAATCCCAGCACTTGGGAGGTAGAGGCCTGAGTTCTGGGGTTTAGTCATCCTCAGCTACATTGTCAGTTCCAGTTCAGCTTGAACTCCATAAGGCACTGTCTCCAAAAACAAGCAGGGCCTGGTGAGATGGCTCAGCAGTTAGGAGCACTGGCTGCACTTCCAGAGGACCCAGGTTTGATACCCAGCACCCTTATGGCAGCTCACAACTGTAGAGGATCCAACACCCTTCCCTGGCCTCTGTGAGCACTGTCATGGTGCAAAGACATGCACAGAGGTACAGACATCCATGCACATAAAAATAAATAAGGGCATTTTTAAACAAACAAAAACCTCAGAGAATTTGAAGAACAAGAAGAGGAGGTGTAAGCGGGACGAATAGAAACAACAACAGAAATAAAGAACAGAGATATCCTGAAAATTAATTGTTTTCCTATTTCTTGTAAACATTTTTATTTTTATACCTTACATTTTTATTTATTATGTTTGTGGTATGTGTATCACACATGTGCATGTCACAGCACACATTTGGCAGTCAGTTAACATGTTTTTGGAATCAGGTCTCTCCTTCCACTTCCACAGGATTCTGAGAACTGGATTTAGGGCCCCAGGCTCACACAGCATCTTCAACTACTAAGCTATCCTCCCCGTCCTTTTAAAGGATTTAATTTTTTTTCCTTTTATGAATAAGTAAGTCCTCGACCAATTTTTGTTTGTTTGTTTTTCCAGACAGGGTTTCTCTGTGTAGTTTTTGGTACCTGTCCTGGATCTTGCTCTGTTCGAGGCTGGCCTCAAACTCACAGAGATCCACCTGGCTCTGCCTCCTGAGTGCTGGGATTAAAGGTGTGTGCCTCCACTGCCGCCCGGCTCTTGGCCAATTTTTAACTGATGTTTTACAGACAAGACCTAGCTATGTAACTCAAGATGGCCTGGAATCCTCTATGTAGACCAGGCTAGCCTAGCCTGGAACTCACAGATACCCTACTGCCTTTGCCTCCTAAGTGCTGAGATTAAAGGTGTGAACCACCATTTCTGCTATTTATTGATTTTTTTTTCATGAAGGCTGGACTAATAATCAATTTTTGTCCTTTCAATTAATTTAACTCAGCTCACATCTTCCCAGTGCCCTGCAATGCCGGCCACTTTGAGGAAGACACTGATTCTGAATATGTTTGGGTTTTTTTTTTCCTGGCTTCTCTGGTTTGTGTGGTTTGTCTAATTTCTCAGCTCTGCACAGGTCCACTGCTGTTTCATTGCTAGAGCTTTAGTCTCAAGTCTTGATGTCACTCTTGTGGATGTCAGGAGGTCTGTATACAATGGTCGGGTCCTCTTCTGTGCACACCTTTGGACAGTTTCTAAAAAGAAAAGCCCATCTGAGCTAGAGAAATGGCTCAATGGTTAGGAGAAGTGGCTGCTCTTGCAGAGGAGCTAAGTTCAGTTCTTAGTAGCCATCCTGGTTGTCTCAGAACCCAGCTCAAAGGATCCATCGCCCTCTTCTGGCCTCTGTGGGCACTGCACTTACACATACATACCTGCAGGCAGAAAACTCATACATGTATAATAAATAAAACATTAAAAAGGAAAGAAATGTTGCTGAAAAGTCCACATTGGGAGTCCCCTGGCTCTGTTTCCCCACTTTTA